CACACCGCCAAGGAAGAGGCCGTGCAGGAAGGCGGGGGCGTTAAGGAATCCCATCACGCGGGGAAACCGCCGAACGAGCGGGTTGCGCACGGGAAGGATCCCCACCCGGCGCGGCCCGACGCCGTCGAAACGCACGAGCAGTGGTTTAAGAAGAAACCCAAACGACGCCACTTCCCGTGAGGATGGGTGAGCAGCTCCGCAGGGGGGGGGGGCGAAGGAATCGTAGACATGATAACCCTTTTCTAACATAGAATATTAAAAATTAGCGAATAACGCTTGTTAAACGATGATAAACCTGCCGTCGGAAGGAAGGAAGAATCATGCACGAACATAGAACTGTTTTTGTTTTCCCTCACACACTTATTGGGAAAAAGTAGAATTACGCTAGTGCAGCCCAATAGCGTGGAATTTTATACTCTGTTGCTTACTGCGTTTTTTTTTTTTTGCTCCCCCCCCCTTTCCCTTTCCCTCTTTCTCCTTATGATGATGTCCATGTGTAAATTACTCCATTTCGGTGCTTTTCTTCTCTGTTGTAGTTGAAGAAAAAAATTCCAAAAGGGTCCATCCCAGATTCTTTTTTTTTTCCTTTCTAAGCCTCATTGCCATTCACGTCCGATCCGTTGGGATTCACTACACCGCAGAAGCGTCCGAAGGGGAGAGCGTACGACCGTTTCGTGAAAGGTTGCCTGCCACCATGCCACCAGGGAAGAAAGCGGAGCAGAAGCGAAAGGAGAAGATCGTCGAGGACAAGACCTTCGGGTTGAAAAACAAAAACCGCAGCGCGAAGGTCCAGGCCTACGTCCAGCAGGTCCAGAAGACCGTCAATCAGCGCCACCCGAACGACCGCAAGGCCGCCGCCGACGCCGAGGAGCGGCGGCGCGCGAAGGAGGAGAAAAAAGCCCGCGAGGCGGAACTTGCGAAGCTCTTCCACAACGTCGATCAACAGCAACGCCGGCGTAAAGACGAAGACGCGGGAGGGGAAGGGGAAGGCGACGGCGACGCAGGGGCGTACGTCTACGACCCCGACGCCTATCTCTTCCGTCCGGAGGACTTCGACGAGGTCGAGCACGACGCGCGTCGGCTGGAGGAGCGGCTGGAGGCCGAGCGCGAGGCCCTCCACGGGCGGGACGATTTAACCCCCGTGACGGAGCGGACGTTTCAGGCGTGGAAGGCCGCGAAACGCGCGGAGGCCGCCGCGAAGGAGGCCGCGCGGGTCCGTCAGGCGAAGGCCGGCCACGGCACCCTGCGTGGGTGGGACCTCTGGCAGCTCAACCAACACCTCTTCGTCGACGACGACCAGGCCGACGAGTTCTACGAGCGCGAGGTCTTCTCCGACGGGGAGGGGGAAGAGGACGCGTATGATCTGTCCTAGGCTGCTTTTCGTTTTATTTTATTTTTTTTGGGGGGGGGGAGGGGGGGTTCTTGGTTTCCCTTCCCGCTGTGTGTGTGGATCGGTGGGCCGGGTTAACCCGTGGCGTCATTTGGTGAAGTAAAGGGGGGGGGGATGGTTCTTGCCCGGTGTCTCCCTCGTCGAGGGGATGGAATAAACTCATCCACTAGGTGGGTGGGGATCGGTTGAGTAAATAGTGAACAGGCAACCGTATTCATCAACTTGTAGTCCCCTGTAGTTCTCCTCTTAGTGGGCGTCAAGGAGGCAGATTTGGGAACTCTTTCAATCCATATAAGGTTGACGGCATGTGGATGGTTTTTGGAAGTGAAAAATTCTGCATACCATCTGTGGGGGGTGGCTATATCGGCCCCCGCTTCCTAAAAGGAAACAAAATAATAATGCATGATGAGAAGGGAGATGGATGAGTAGGCGTCAGATATTTTAAAAGGGAGTCTTTGCCCTTGAAAGCACTAAACTGGAAAAATAGATATGCATACCGATTGTATATTTATGATTCTTTTGCTATTATTTGGATTGAGTGATTAAAAGAAAATAGATACGTACGTATTTATATACATATAATCTGAATTTCTTATTCCTTAACAATATTGGAGTGTTTTTGCCTCACATTCCCCCCCTTATACATTTAATTCATCGTGTATCCTCCCTGTCTATCTAACATTCTTAAGATTACACATTAAAAGATAGGGATAAAAAAGGCCATTTTCTAACTTGGAGCAAGAAAATATAATAGGTTTACATTATTGCTATTCCTTAACTAAGCCATACTGATGAAGAAATCGTCCCTTTCCGGTTACGGAAATGGGCCTGGGGACTCACAGAATATAGGCAATCTTCTGGGCAGTAGGCCCTGTGTACGTCAAAGTCGACTTTACCGTGAGGGGTGCAGTGGTAATGCGATGAAAGATATTCTTGGGCAGGGGGAACTAAAGTGGGATACCACCCGCACCGAGGGCTGCTACAAGGGTGGGCATGTTTACGATCACAACACCAAAGACAACCTCGCGGTGCAGCAGGAAATGGAACGTGATCAAGAAAAAACATCCGCGGTTGAAGGTGAAGATGAAGAAATCGAAGTAGAAGTCGTTGACAAAGAAGCTGCCACTCCGGCCCCGCAACAAGAGACCGATGTACCGCAGAAATCAGATGTCCCTCCTCGAGTTTCGGCGAGCACTGGCAGAGGCTTCCGCCCCTGCTCAGGGATGGCCAATCAACAAACGTACAACATCTTCACGGGTGAATAATTCAGAAAAAAGAAGTGGGCAGACCGAATTAAGTTGCCTCAAATTTGCTTTTACATGATACACAACCTTTAGATGTCGTCTATTGGGGAAAATTCTAGACGAAAAAAAAAGGGTGTATAGGAAGATTCACTGCAGAAATAGAGGGTAACAAAATCGATGCGTGAAAAAAAAATAGAACTAAATCCAGTTTTTAAGTGGGAAAAAGTAAAAGAATTTGTGGTAATGTTTTTTTTTGTAAGTGCTTAAACACAACCGCTGATGCTAGACTCTTCCGCATGGAGCGGGTGTTGTTGTTTTGTTTACCTTCAAGAGTACTCTCAACTAATAGATTCATTAGTATGAGATTCCGTCTATCCACTCACCCACCTTTTCCTTGCGTGCGTGGGAATGTGGTGCGAAAATACGTTTGTCTCTAGATCACCAATAAAATTTAATTCTATGCAAACAAAAAAAAATACTTATGACAGTGGCATTACTGTTTATCTTATGAACGTATGTGTGTGTTTTCCTTCACATTTGATCCTGATACATTTTAATTGAATCTCATGCATGTGCTTTGCGCGCGCGATTTCCACAAAGTTAATAACCACCCTTATGTTTACACGCACGCACACATTTGATAAGTTTCGATAAATTTCAGTTCTTAAAATGACACTTCGCATAAAAGTGAGATATTGGGATCGTATAAACCCATTTACTCCCACGCACGAAATGGGAAGGAAAAAAAGATGTATCACAGTATAGATGGTCAGATTTTTTTGTTGTTTTTCCTCACTATTTGGGAGTAAGAAAAAAACTGGAAAAGCAACCCATAAGTGCTTTAAAAACAGATATACATCTGAGTGTACCTCAATCTCTTCGATTATTGTTTCCTCTTTCGTTTCGTTTTGAAACATTTTAGAACACTATTATGTATATACTGTTGTTCCCCTCCTCATTTGATCAAACGAAAGAGGATATTTAAACCCTTATATTGGATATATCTAATTGGGTTAGAATCACTCTCAATTCAAGAGATGAGATTGAGGTCCTTGACCCTCGTGTTTTTTGGGCCCAGTGAAATGCACGTTACTCCTCTCCAAATAGCCCACATTGCTACATAAAATGTCAGAAAAATAAAAAGGAAACAATGTTTCTTTGAGGAATTCGTTTTTTTTTGTTCATTTGTAACGCATTTGTACTAATGATAGTAGTTACAATACTCTCGCGGAAGGGGAATATGTTTAAAATAAAAAAGATTTCCTCACTTCAGTATTTATTCACTTTCCATATCTCCCTTCTTTTCTCCTCACAAACATATTTAAGGTCTAAACAAAGGCCATATAGTATCCCATTTCCATGGGACTGCATTCCCCCCCTCCAACTGAGGGTGATAGAGTTCTGATACCTTATGTCGACGATTTTATGCTAGAAGCTTTAAAGGAGGCCAAGTACGCTTTGGACGAACAAGAGGTTCCTGTTGGTGCAGTAATCGTATCCCTCCCCGCGCATCAGCAGTACTTACAACATGTCGTAAGGGAAAGAGGTAATTCAGCGACATGCAAAGAAAAGCAGGTTGTGAACTTCCCTCGCGTCATTGACACTCCGGAAGATGGTGAAAGTGTTTCGGATTTGGCCATGCCCATGCTCAACGGTGGGTGTGGTCTTGCACGGGGCCGGAATGCCACGAATCGTCTTCACCACGCACTTGCACATGCCGAATTTATGTGTGTGGAAGATCTTCTACGTTCACTACGGCACAGAGATGGTAGTGTTGAGAAGGATAGCATTAACGAGACTGAATTCTCTTTTGGAAATTCAGAAAACGGTGTCACGGATCTCTCAAATTATGTATTATATGTGACGGTGGAGCCCTGTATTATGTGCGCCGCATTCCTCCGCTATAACCTCCTCGCAAAAGTGTTTTTTGGGTGCCGAAACGTGAGATTTGGCGGCAACGGGTCGGTATTGTCTCTCCAAGAGCATAACTCTGATTCTGCTGATTGCAAAGGGAAGGCTAATGGTGTGAATGATGGCGAGGACTGTGGGGATAGGAACATGACACAAAGAATGAACTCCACATTCCAAACGATGGGTTATTCTAGTGAAGGTGGGTACCGTGCGCAGGAGGCAATTGAACTTCTACAAAAATTCTACCTCAGGGAGAACCCAAATGCACCAGGTATAAAGAGAAAACGAAAGTCATCAGCGCTTTCGCTTTAGTCCCTTTTGTATCCGATGTGTACCCTATAAAAGAAAAAAGGGGGCAGCATTGGGGAAGGTAACAACTATTGTTGTTTTGGCGCGATGTTATAAATATTAAAATGAAGATAATTGACTGCCTTGCATATGGTTTTCTCCGTTAAGCAAGAAATCTTTGTAGGTTCGAATTTTTCCTCTTTTTATCGACATGAAGATAGTACCCAAAGTGATAAAAACGTCAGCAGACACGCACTTGCAGACGCAAAGTATTCTACGAACAAGCCAATGGGTCTAAGCATGCTCATCATAAAGGTGCTACTTGTTATTTTCCTTCTTAACTTCTTCTTTTCCACTGTGCGGTTGTGCTGCTGTGTGGCCTTCACAGCTGTCAATCCCAAAACCACAGGGGCCTTCCCCTTCAACATGCGCTACATCTCAGAAGTCAAGGAATGCTTGCAACGGTACTAAGGCAAGGGAAATGGTACAGAAAGAACAAGATAATGATTTTCTGACAAGTGTACAAAAAGATGGGGAATTGTCCGAATGCCGCATAAGGCGGGCACGAAATCAGACAGTATTTCATATGCTGCACATCTGGCACTCAGCTGATGTTGTCCTTTTCATGCATTGCTTTGCATGGTGTTTGATGTTGGAGTAATTTTTATTGTTTCTGGTGTAATATCCATTTATTGTTGAGCTTTTGCGGTGGACAATGCTCTCTCGTCGTCCAGTTTCGAGTAGTGTGGAGTAATGGTTTTTTGTACATGTTGTTTGCCCTCTTTGATTAACCTCTCGCGTAATACGGATGATGAGTTCCACGTTGAACATTATATAGATTGGTTGTTCATATTTGCTGCATACTAATTGTACGCTATTTGTGACACATGCTCCTTGGACATGTAGAATAGTGAATTGAGCTCGTTGCGCCGCATTGAATTCTTCACACATTTTCCTGATTTCTTTTAATTACATTCACTTTCTATCTTCGGTCCCTTCGCCTTTGCTCTACATAAAGATAAAAATTGATAACACTCTTCCCATTCCTATCAAAGTTATATAAGGTTTCTCATATAAAAACCAAAGTATACAAAGAAGCAGTCAGCGACTACACTTGTGAAAATGAGCAATGAGCCGCATCGTGAGGCGCCTAATGAATCCTCAGAGGCCAATTCTACCCAGAACCCAAGCTCCGAAGCCAAAATGTCGTACAACTTGAGCAAAAATGAAGGCAATGGCAAAGAATTTATTGATATGGATGTTGATACCGCTCCATACACCCAGGATTCAGAAGGCTATGATATTTCAAGGCCTGGAAAAGTTTTGGCCGGTGAACTCATGGAAAATACGAATATCCTAAAATCAGCTTTCCATGTGTTCAAGGCTAACGTTGGTACTGGTGTATTCATGCTACCCAACTTTTACCAGGATGCTGGCTTCGCTGCATCTATATTCCTGGCGCTGATGATTGGTACAATTGTGATCGACTGCACGCAGTTGCTACTGCAGACAAAGCTGAAGATCAATCGGACCGATATTACAACCTACTCCACTATTGCTCGGTACGTGTTTGGACCCCCCATGGCTTGGTTCCTCTTCTGTGCACTCTGTCTAACACAATTTGGGTTCTGTCTGATGTATTCTCAACTCTTCTCCGTTACTATGGACGAGTTGTTTGCCTTTAAGAATTCAGGTTACTTGTGGCCAACCCTGATGCTAATTATTGGCTTTCCCATGACATGCTTTTCGCACAACCTTTCCATGTTGTCTGCTGCCTCGGTACTCGCAAGTATCGGAGTTACTTACGCGTTAGTATGTTGTATTACACGGTCTGGAATTGTAATCCATAATAACAGAAGCAGGGTTCATCCAACGTGCAACGCATTCGGTAGGAATATTCCCATTGGCTGGTTCAATAACCTTGCCAATAACATGATGGTACTGGAAGGTATCGGCATCGTGTTGCCTGTGCATGCTGCTTGTACGCAAAAGAGACTGGTTCCTAAAATGACTGTTGTAGTTCTGGGAATAGTTATTGCTGTTTATCTCCTCATTGGCATAATGGGGTACGGTGCGTTTGGCAATGATTTAACTACCTCGCTTGTAACTGGCATGGATCATGACGCCTGGGGCTTCAGCATTCGCATCTTTTTCATGGTCAACATTGTCTTCACCTACCCCGTGCAGTTCATGTCCGCCATGCAGTTGATTGATCAAGTGGTTAAAAGTACACCTCGGAGCCGACTTGGATTAGGCTTACGCTTTGTGATCAATCTTGCAATTTGGGTGCTTTCCATGAGTCTGGGTGGAAAAGCCGTTAACATTGTTGTTGCCTTTATCGGTGCTATACCCTCAACCTGGATTGTGATGATCATTCCAAGCATGATGCGTACTCAGGTTGAATACGCCGTAGAGCACTCAAATGAAGATCGGACAACGCTGAAATACTGGAAAGTGGCCCTTCTGGGGGTTCCTGGAAGGCGTTTCACTTGGTTGCGCATTCGATGTATCGCTTATATCTTACTGGCGTTTCTGATTATGGTAATTGGTACATACAGCATCTTTACCACCGAAATTTTTACCTCTGATTCGTGAAAGAATATAATGGTAGAACGGAGGCTAAATATATATCCATTTATTTATTTATAGGAAAAGGTAAAGCAAAGTAGCATAAAGAACAAGCTAGAAAAGGATGGAATCTGATAAATCAAATGGTTTACGTGACTTCCTTTGATTTCTTTCTTATCTACACTCGTTGAGTTGTTTATATAACTTTTTGTCTTATAGAATGCTTGATATACTGTTTTTTTTGTTGGGATTTGAGTCACAAAAACTTATAAAGTATTGTGGATAAAAATGACTTTCACTGTGACTATTTTGATAAAATTTGATTTAAAGAGGAGGAGGCGGAGGCAAAAATGAAATCGCAGGCCACCTCCCGAAAATATTATATAGAAAAGGGAAAATTTTGAAGCTGATACCTTGAAAACAAGGGTCATATAACAATAAATACAAACATAATCTTGTTTTTATGTTTTTCTTACTCTTAACTCT